CCTGTCTTTCTGCCCAGATCCTGGTGGGTTCTTCCAACCCCACATTAGTTCCTAAATGCCCCACAAAGGGAAAAGAGCTGCTGAGATGGTAGCTGAGGAGGAGAATCATAGAATAGTTAAGGTTGGAAAAGACCTTTATGATCAAGTCCAACTGTCAGCCCAGGACTACCACCATGTTCATCAGTAAACCACATCCTCAAGAGTCACAGCTACAGGATTTTTGAACACTTCCAGGGATGGTGACTCTACCATTGCTCTGAGCAGCCTTTTCAGAGAATATTGTCCCATGGATTATCCCCACTGTGTATGGCACCTGGGCCATGTAGCCTTCTTGTATGGCCCCAGTCTTGCCTGTTCCTCCTCTTGGTCCCTCACATGCTGCCCCATTTCTTCACAGAGCTGACAGTACATGTGGCTGATGAAGACTTGGGCTACATTCACTGTTATGGACAGAGTCACTGCCCACCTGGAGCATGGATAGACCTGCAGGTAATCCCTCAGTCCCCTCCTTACTTTTTCAGCTCCCGCCAGGTCAGGTACAGCAGGTGGAAGGCGATGCAGTTGAGCGCGTAGGCATTGAGGGTTGGTTTGACAAAAGACATCAAGGTACTGATCACGGTGGTGGTACCAGTCAGCCAGAAGAAATGCTTCCTAAAGGGAGTTGGGAGTGAGTGTCAGTGCCCCCAGGGTTCACAGGAGGGAAGGATAAGGACGGGAGAGGTCCTGCTCATTGACTGAGAGAGGAAACCTCCAACACCTCCAGTCTATGTCTATTTACACGTGGCTGACCTCAGCCTCTGTGCAGTGCTGGCAGGAAGGCTGAGTATCAGCCCCTTATTTAGTCCATGACAGAGTGGGGAGCAGAGCCCAGAAGGCAGCTCATGCACTTGCACGGTGATGCCAGAGATGAGGCAAAGGTGCTGGAAGCTCTGCACAGGAAAGGGCTGCAAGGCAGGAGGAGTCCCAGCAGCGGCAGCAGGGGCTGGAGCCGAGCAAACACGCGGATTTGGCCTGACTGAACAACAATAGGGCTCAGAGGGGCCTTTCACATGCAAATCCCTTCCCAAGTGCCTTCCCCTCTCCCCCAGCCATGTCTCCACAGTGAACTTCTGGTGACCTCCTCTTCTGCATGGAGCAGGCCCCGGCAAGGCTCCTAACTGGGCTGGCTCAGAGGGCTCCAGGCAGAATGGGACCATCCTTTGAGCAAAACCCTGCTGGATTCCCATTTCTGCTGATCTATGCTCACCCAGTATCCCCATCGTTTCTGCTGAGCTCCTCCAGCCCAGCGAGCCCTCCTGCTAACAACCCTTGAAATGAGGGGTGTAACCTGGACCAGCTCGTCCTACGGGAAACCCCATCAGCCTTCAGCACCAAGTGACAGAGGATCTGGTCCCAAAGCAAACTATAGTGACCTCAGTGCTGACCCCTTGCAGGAGAGGTGGGGGGGGATCTGTGGGTCACACATGTCAATGTCAAGGTCCCATCTCACCCCTCAGAGCCTGCACCCTGTGTCCCCCTGAGCCATACCTGGTCTTGATGCACTTGGGGAAGTAAACCTGTGGGTACCAGAAGGAGTATGCCACAGCCAGTGACCAGAGGATGGAAAGCTCATCCAAGAGTTGTCCTACGTAGCTCAGGGTCATGTGAAAGTACGTGGAGAAGACACCTGCAAGGAGTAAGGACAGCCTGTGTCACCAAAGCTTCAGCCTCACAC